AGATAGAAAAATAGCGCTGATTTGTTTTATTTGCCTGGCCGGCCCTGCCAGTGGCCAGTCGCATTGTTCAACAAGGAGCAAAGAGGTGATTGCTGCTGCTATGGCTCCAGGAGCACTGAAAAAGGAGGAAGTGATGTAAAGCTTTGTGGCTCACCCACATCCTCACACAAAACAAGGCCTCAAGTGGCTGTTGTTTATAAAGAACAAAACACACACTTGTTGTTCTTGTGGAGATTGATTTTTCTAATACACTTAGTGAGCGTTGGTAGATGATCACAGCTGCCAGGTGTCATTGTCTCTCCTACAAGGGGGATCTAATGTTTGAGTTGGAATGGGTGACGGTTGGTGGAGACCGTTATGATGGATGGATTTTGACAAATGTATTATTTTTCCTTAAGTCTGAGTAAACAGGGAGAGGTAATGATATTTAAGTAAACTTTGGTGGGCTGATACATAGAAAGGGCGGTGGTTGCCAGGGCCGGCTTCAGTCATAAGCGACATAAGCTGTCATTTAGGGCCAACGGCCACTAGGGGGCCACCGACCCAATTATTGTAATTTGTTTCAAGAACTCAACTTACTGTTGGGAGTCAGAATAGTAGAATTCACAAGGTGCAAGTTCAAAATTCGGTTGTGCATCAGCAGTTTTTCTCTTGTTATATTAGTCACTGACAGTCAATTGATCAGATAGCAATGATGGCTAACAATTTTTACATTGGTAAATTAGTCTAGCCAGCTATATAAACTTGTAGTAGTCATGGCTGAATACCAACCAGAACTGCAGGAAATTAGCTTAAAAACAAAAAAATAAATATTTGCTGTCAAGAGGGGGGCAACTAACTGTTTTGCCCGTGAGGTGGCAGGGCCCCACAACCAAATCTCACTTAGGGCCCCCAAAAGGCTAGGGCCGGTCCTGGTGGTGGCAGTGAAGTTGGGAGTGAGGAATAGTTACAGAAAAGGGAATGGCGAGAGGGAGGGAGGGAGGGAGGGAGGGAGGGAGGGAGGGAGGGAGGGAGGGAGGGAGGGAGGGAGGGAGGGAGGGAGGGGACACTATCAGCACCCTGAGTCCCATTGAGGAGTGACATGTATGTAACATGTATGCTCAGATAGCATGAAAACCGTCTGCAGTCACGCCACTAAAGCTGCTACCTACAAACACACAAACACACACATGCACACACAAACACACACACACTTACACTGGCTCGGCTATCCTGGCCCAACAGGTTAGGCGACACAGCATAAGTCACATGACCCTTGTACATCCATTGCTCAGCCTGTCACTCCACCTCTCCCCCTCAGGGCAAAACAAACCAGTGCAGGGCCAGAGGGAAGGGAAGGTTGAGGAGAAACAGAGGGAGGCATGGGGGAAAGTTCAGCAAGTCTGAGTACAGCTCAAGACTGTATGATCTCATTTAGACACACATGCTATACAAGCCGTACGACTGGCTGGGGAGGGCAACCATGACACCAGGATAGTCCCCATTTCATATAGGCCATATGCATACTCGAAACAATTGTGACACACAAACACACACACTCACACACAGACGCACACACACACACACACACACACACACACACACGCATGCACCACAGGAGGCTGCTAAAGGGAGGACGGCTCATAATAATGGCCGGAACGGAGCAACAGGAATGGTATCAAACACATGGAAACCATGTGTTTGATGTATTTGTTACCATTCCACGAATGCCGCTCTAGTTATTACCACAAGCCCGTTCTACCCAATTAAGGTGGCACCAACCTACTGTGGCATACACACAGAAAGACATACTCCCACCCGCTCATGTTTGTATGTCATCCACACACTTGGCCTGCTCCAAATGTCTAGCCACATGACGCACAAACAACAGAATTATACTTTAGTTTTTTTTATTAATTGTTTTTCAATAAAGGGACAAAATGGGTGTGTGAACAGGATAATGCAGACTGCCAGAAAACACAGACAGTGGTTTTCCCAATACAACTGAACAGAGACCAGAAAAAAATACAACAAAAATAGCTAAATGTGTCCAATGACCTTAGGCCACTCTTTAAAAAATAAAGAAATAATATTAGAACCAAAAAGAAAAAGAAAACAAAAAATGATCCATTCCATGCCTCTGTTTTGAACAGAGCATAGGTAATAATAAATAGCAACTCCCATAGTAAAAGATAAAGGTCAAGTTCAAGTTACAACAAACAGCTCTCAGAACAAGAATAGAAAATGCTGATAACAAAATATTCCGCATTGCCATTTACAAAAAAGTCTCAACTCAAGCAGGCTTCTCCACGTCTCCATTTCATTTTCATTTTTAAATATGCTTTGCATATGAAAGTATATCCAATCTAAATATAAAGCACCATTTAGTATTTGGCAATGAAAAAAACCCTGCAAAACATTGATTATTTTTCAAATTCATTTATTTTGATGCTTTTTTAAATCGATGTACTGCATATGAAGTAAGTTCATTTTTTTCTTCTTAAGATGTTGGAATGTAGTCAGGTGGGATACGTGGGAAAGACAGAAGCACAAAACAGAACAGCCCGACGTCAGCTTGCATTACTGCTTACAGAATGGCAGCAGGGGGAGGAGGTCCAAACCAAACCAAAGAAGATATGTACAACCACCTGTGTGAGCAGGAACCAGCGCGGCAGCCATCTTATGGCCCACTGCGCCCAATGCCACATACTTAATTATTTTTTTATTGGGTTTTCTTTAATTTCTTTAAACATAGAAATAATTTGCACTATATTATCCTGCCAAATTAAAAATATATACCGTGGCAGCTTGTTATTTTTTTTCACTACCAAAAAGGTACGTAAATACCTTTAGAGAGAACAAGCAACAGTTAAAAATACGAGCCTCAATATAAATACTATAGTGCCTACTCTAAGTGAACATTGAATTCAAATACCATTCTAGACATACAGAAAAAAGTAGACCATAAATGTGTTTAAGCATAGGAATTGACATGAGTGTGCATCTTCCTATATTTAAGTTCTCTATTATATATTCATATATAATCTTAAGCCTTTCCCCAATGCAAATTTTATTCAACCTGAAGAGCCGCGAAGTGCCAAGGCAAAATAAAAAGTCACATATTTTTTCTCCATTTTATATATACTGTGATCTAGTCCTGAACACCACCAAGACAGAGAGAAAAAGAGAAACAACAACAAACTTAAATACAGTTTCCCCTAAAGATAATGAAGTGTTATAAAAAAAAGTCCTTTTAATATTTATACAAAAAAAAAAGATTTGTACAAAAAAAAAAATCTTGCAGTGTGAGCAGCAAGTTTGTTATCTAGCTGAGGGAGTTTTTACCCAGTCACAGCACTGAGTGCTTTTCTGGGGTTTCTTGGGGTTAAATAACAATGGTCAGAGGTGAAGGATAAGGGTCAAGGGGTGGGGGTGGGGAGTGGAGTGGCAGGCAACAGATTCTGTATTCGTTACTATATAAAACAACTGAATCTTAGTCATCAGTCAGCATTTTAGCAATTTTTCCCTTAAGCGTATACCTGTAAACTGGGAAAATTGAAAAGTGCAATTATAGGACAATTTTGTCCTATAAATGACAGTCTAACTTTAGACTCAACCGCTGTACCGACGTTGTACCAACGTTAGACAATTTTAGAGTATCTGTACAGACTCTGAGGCAGAGTGACAAGTGCTATTTCACCATCGACTGGGGCGGATGTCTGCAACTCAACGAAGAAAAAACTCCTTTCACGTCAACACAAACAGCAAACAGTACAATTTTTTTTAGCAAATAATGGTACATCTGCCCTGTATTACAAACTCCTTTATGATTATTTTGTCTTGTCTCCACTCCTCCTTTTCAAGAGCCCTGGCATGGGTACAACTATCTTCCTTAAATAATATTTGTATTTATTTTAAGTTTAGGCAATTCATAGATGGATAGAACGTTTAAATGTATTGTAATTTTTTTTTTTTTTATGAAACCCCTCCCCAAGCACACCATTCTGTTAGCTTCTAATTATTTGTAACTTTTCTGACTAGCTTGTATTCATTCGAATGTCCTCGTATCGTCTGGTGTGCTGGGAGCTTAGACACTGCCTACTCCCGCACTGATAAATCCAAGCAGCATCATAGGTTTTGTGCTACTGCAAATACATGACAGCTCTCAAGTCCTCACAACACTATAAAAGTCCCACGAATTTAGGATTGTACTTTACAGAGCATCTTTGTGCTCAGTACCTCCGTACCAGAAATAAAATATACAAACAGTTCAGTTATACACAATACTGCCTGTACCGTGCCTGCTGAAAACCTCACAATTTAAAGATACTATAATACATAGCAAATAGGAATATTATTGACCAATGCAGTTTCAAGATATCAAAGGCACTCTTTTTTTTGTTTTACCAAATGATAGTACAAATTCAAATCTTAACGCATCCTTGTCTTTTTGAAGAAATCCAAAGGCTGTCACTGCTTTGCCTTTAGTAATCAAGCCAATTCATAGATGATTCTTTAACCCCATGGGGACAGAACATCTTTTAGAAAGATGAAGGTTAAGTGCGATTCCCAGGTCGTCCAGAGAGGGTTAAGCTGAAGACTGTACATGATATGTGGTATGCAGCATGGTCGTTTCATTCTTGTCTTTTCTTTTTTTGAAAATAAAAACAGAACAAGAAAACAGCAACACATTTTACTCAACAACTAACCAACCAGGGACAATTTCTATTTTTTTTAATTAGCCAAAACATACCATGCATGCTGTCTAATTATCAAAAATGGGAAAGGATAATCGAAAAAGAAAATAAGTACACAACATGTAAATTATTGCACAAGAGAAAGGCTCGAAGTTTTGCGTCAATGCAATAGTATTGCCCCGATACAGATCATGCATTCAACGAGTAATGGAAACGGGGTGTGCTGGTCCAGAGCACGTTGTCTTAGCTTCCACCGGACTGGTGAAAGAAGAGGGGAGAATCTACAGGGGACTGGGGAGAGAGGGAGGGCTGATGAAACCCCCACTACTCCGACTTAATTTCGGCACTCAAGGGGCGGTCACTGTGCCATTTTTTCATGTGTTTCTCCAGGGTACTGTACACGCTGAAGGGCATCTGACAGATCTCACACTTGAACACGTCCTTGCCGATCTGCCCATGTGTCTTCATGTGGCGTGTGAGCTTGCTGCTTTGGGCGCAGGCGTAGTTGCACAGCCCGCACTTGTAGGGCCTCTCTCCTGTGTGGCTGCGCCGGTGCACTGTCAGGTTGCTGCAGTTCTTGAAAATCTTGCCACAGTACTCGCAGGTGTCGCTGCGGCGGCTGCCGTCCTTGGAGCCAGGTCGAGTCAGCGGAGCCCCCAGGTGGGGCGTGCTTCCCCCGCTCCCCGTCCCACTGCGGCCCGACACCCCCCCATCCAGCTCCCCAGGAGGAGTGGAGAAGCGCAGGCTGCCATTCTCCGACGAGTGCTCAGAGGGAGAAGAGGCAAAGGGCGATTGTCTGGAGTCCCCCGCAAAGTTCAGAAAGGGGTCCTTAAATTGTCGGGAGGCGGCGTAGCCGGCCAGCCACTGGGAGTAGACGTTCTCTGTGTTTGGGATGGTGGGTGTAGGCAGGTCAAACTCCTTCTCCAGCTTGATGCGTTTGGAGAAGGGGCTGAGGGGGCTGGGGCTGCCCAGGAGCAGCTTCTTGGAGAGGCCCACCGAGGCTGCTTCGCTGGGGGATGTGCCGCGCCCGTTGATGGCCACAGCCGAGATGCAGCCCCCCTCGCCGCGATCTGACTCCAGCGCTGAATTCTTGTCACACAGCTGCCGTTGTGTGTGCTCGCGGTTGTGGTGGTGGTGTGTGTGGTTCTCTTGGCCCAGCGCGCTGCGCTTGTGTACGTGAAAAGCTTCGCTGAAGTGCTGCATGCTGGCCGCCAACCCCATGCCCTGCATCACCTCAGGCAGCGAGCGAGGGATGGAACCCTCATCTCCTCCTACCAGACGACCCACAACTTCCCCATTCCCAATGTTACCGTTGTTCTCATGGTGTCGCGCTGCCTCCAGACTCAAGCTGAAGTGGTAGCTGTTGTTCCTCCTAACTCCATCCACTTTCTCTTCTTCCTCCTCCTCCCCCTCCTCTTCCTCCTCTTCCAACTCTTCTTCTTCTTCCTCCTCTTCCTCCTCCTCCTCTTCTTCCTCCTCCTCCTCCCCATTCTCCCGGCGCAGGCGGTTGTTCTCACTCTTAAGCTTGGCCACCACTGACTTGAGGGCACTGCTGGCGCTGCCCATTCGCTCGCTGGTGCCCGGCTCGGGTGAGGAAGCTGCAGAGAGCCCATCTTCCGACTTTTCGGCGTTGGGCGATCCCGACTTGTGCATGTGCGTCTTCATGTGGCGCTTGAGCTTGCTAGCCTGGGTGCAGGCGTGGTCACACAGATTGCACTTGTAGGGTTTCTCGCCCGTGTGGCTGCGCCGGTGCACGATGAGATTACTCTGGAACTTGAAGCTCTTGCCGCAGAACTCGCACGACTTGGTCTTCAGAGGAGTAGAAGGCTGGGGGCCCGAGGAGGGCAGCGGGGTGGTGGGGGTGGTATGGGAACCCGAGGGGGACTGCATGGAGGGAGGCAGAGGAGGGGGGGTGGACAGGTAGGGAGGTTTGCCCCCACCGCCACATCCTCCACCTCCTCCACCGGGCTGGAATGGTTGGAGCAGCCGTTGCATAGGGCTGGGCCGGTTGGGAGAGTGTGGGGGAGTGGACCCTGAGGTGTTGCCCGCCAGCTCCCTCAGCCGGCGGGAGAAGTCCATGGCCGATGGTGGGTCAAGGGGCATGGGGGGGTTGAGGCGCAGCACCCTGTCGAAGGCACTCGGATGGTGGGCTGCCAGCGCCAGCTCCTCTGGGCTCAGGTGGTGGGGGTCCAGGTGGTGGCGCGGAGGTGGGCTGAACAGCGGCGGCGTCGGGGGGAAACGCTGCTGTCCACCCCCTCCGTCCCGGCTCCCCGAGCCTGATCCTGGGATGCGGAGGAGGCTGAAGGGGCTGGCCTCGGAGGGCAGGTGGAGGCCGTGGAGGGGGGGCTGCGAGGGGCAATCTGCACCCCCGCCCAGGGAGGAGGGTCTGCCCATGCGGGGAGTGAGGGGGCTGCCATGGCCATGCTCGCTCTCCAGGTAGATGCGGAAGCCATGGGTATTCTGGGCGTGCTGCAGCAGGAACCAGGCGCTGCCGTAGGCCTGTTTACAGGTGGTGCAGGTGTAGGTACTGGGCTCTTCCTTACCTGCAGGGGGACAAAGAGGAAGAGGGGACACAGAGTTAGACTCATGTTCACAACATCAATCAATGAATTAAATAATATACAATATTGATGGCCAAAGGAAATGAGTTAAAGAGTTCAGCTCAATTCAGCTGTGCTGCATTTGACTCGTGCTTGACTGTCTTACGGATCTCATATATGTTTAGGAAGCCATCATATGGTTTTAGGGGAAATCTATCTTAATTATCAGGCTGATAATCTTTGACAAAAATAAGAAGAGACAGGAGAGCAACTCTTATCGAGGTCATGCCCCACATTAGCGACATGACTCCAGACATGCAAAGTGTGTGTTTGTGTGTGTATGTGTGTGTGTGTTTGGGGGGGGATCACAGCTTCCTCTAGCCTGCTATGGGACACTGTTATCCCAGCTGACTGTGAGCAGCCTCTCAGCTTGCTACAAAGCAAACAATGACCACTGTGCCTGCAGAGAACACTCTGCAGAGAACACACTCCCATTGATGTACAGAAGTAACCCCTAACCGAGAAACACACCACCACTAAGCATAGCAGATATTACTACAGTACTAAGGCAGACTAAGAAATGTATGCCTCTAATCTTTGTTTTGTTATTTTTTACAGAAGTCAAATCGACAGTCAGTATAACTGTGTTATAATCCCTTACGCTGAGTGGTGGTGCACACACACACACCAAAAGAAAATCCTCTCGCGGTGCATAACTAGAACTGCCCTCTCAATCGCGGCCCAGTGAAGTATTCCGCTGCTTGTGACAGCAAAGGAACATTTAAATCAATAATTGACTTTGAATGGCTCTCTGACAATGACCTGTGGTCCGCTTCACAATGCATGTGTAATCTCATTAAGCCCGCTCCTCCATCAGCTCATTTACAAGATTAGATCATAAATGGGCCGCCGCTGAAAGCCTTTTAATATGAAACCAGTTATATGGATGCAGACTCATGCACAGTCACACACACAGGCATGTGCATGCGTGCGCACACACACACACACGGCTTTGAGAAAAACCCAGTACTGATTATCCAATAAAGATTTCTGCTCCACTGCTCTGCTAGCCTAAATACACAGATTCTCCCAAATGCGCACAAATGCACATGCGCACACATAAACACACACACACACACACACACAGACACACACACACACACACGCACACACGCACACACAAACACACACACAGACACACACACACACACACACACACACACACACACACACACACACACACACACACACACAGAAATACAAACATTTAGACAGTAAACAGATTAATGCTGAAATGTGTAACTATACACACAGATAGGCATGGTAAAACACACAACAAGAGTGAGGTGTATTGTGGTATCTTGGTCCACCTGTGAGTGAGTCATTCAGCCCATATACCCAGCGACCATCCACAGGTTGGTTCCCCTTCAGACTAATTACTCTAGAGACTCACATAAGCCTAAAACGAGACTAAGGTGAGCCTTAAACGAGCTTGAGGAATCAAGCTCTAACAGGTGAGCATTAGACCATATCATTTCACTAAAAAGGGAAATATATACAGGAAATTAACCTTTCATTATTTGCCAATTAAAATGAGCTACTTGATTCAAATAAAATAGAAAATGGATCCATCTACTTTATTCTCAGAATGACAAGCCAAAATATTTAGCTATGCAATCCTGCCAGACAAGATAAATATCACATTGGCAATAATTATCCAGGATACATTTCCAGATAAAAAGCAATTTTGTGATAAAGGGCTGTAGAGTCCATTGAATCAACAGACAGGGGTCAGTCACTAAAGCCTCCATACTCCAGCTAACGACTGGCAGTAGGAACCCAGAAAATGAGAGACAACACTAAAAGGGATTTATGGTTTACCTTACTACTTTTATCCTCCCCAACTGCAATTTACCTTGCACATCCAAAAAACAAAGGGTCAAAACTGTCACCAAAAAAATCCATCAGTTAGTGTGCCGTGTGTGTGTGTCTCAGTGTGTGTGTGCATGTGTGTGTGCATGTGTGTGTGTGAGGGGGGCGTCATATTTCCCATTGACATATTTCTTACACAACTTTTCTCTCCTTTTTGTGGTGGATATACTGTATATAGTGTGTGAGGTAGAAAGGTGTGCAGAGAGAAAGACTTCTCTGCGTGTATGAGCATGTGTGTATGTGAGGGGCCAACAGTTGCTACTGGGTTGTGTGAGAAGGGGGTTGGTGAGTGAAAGGCGTGAGACTCAGTGGTTGGGTAGGATAATCCTGTTAAGACACTCAGACCCTCCCCCGGACACTCAGACCCCTTGGTGTTCTGTCTGGGTCTAGCACACTGTCTGAGCACTGGGAGAATTCACACACACACATATGCACGCACACACACACTTATCTTTCACAACCCACAGATTGGGAAGTCTAGCATTAGCTAGTAAATTATGGACAATTAGAATTGTCAAAAATGTCTGCTAATTGATGCCACCTGCAGAGGGTCTAACCTCTATGTTTTATTTGCATTTCCATTGAGAGTTGTTTCTTCTCACATGGACATTTATTGATGTGCAAGAGTATTGGAAAAAGTTGAAATGATTGGAAGTGTCTGAAATGTAGGCTTCTGAGAGCCCTAACAGCCTGCTTCTAATTCAGCCATCGCTCAGTTCATTGAAGAAGACTGCCCAGAGCTCAGAGAAAGAGCTGAAGAAGATGGAACGAGACAGAATGTGTGAGGGAGAGAGACAGAGACAGACAGAAAGAGAGAGAGAGAAAGAGACAGAGAGAGAGACAGATGACTGTAGCGCTTGGCAGCAGTGTGTTAAGATCGCAGACGGAGAGAAAGAGGAGTGAGGGAGAGAAAGAGAGAGAGAGAGTGAGAGAGAGAGTGAGAGAGAGAGAGAGAGCAGTAATGTTACATGCTGCCAGCTTTTAACACTGGGAAATGTCAGAGCCATGTAACCAGCCATGAGCCATCAGAGAACAAGAGAGGAAGGAGGAAGATAGAGAAAGTGAGCTCCCACAAACACTGTGCCAGACATACACACACATACACCATATCACACCACATTATACACACACATACTGCCATCACACATGCCGTAACATAGTACACCCTCCCTACTTCCGTGTCGACACACTCCCTTCACAAACGCACACACGCACAAACACAAGCACCAAAGTATTAAACCCCATTAAGCAGAGGACACTGCTGAGGCACTTATGCAGTGTTAGATGTGCGAAGGGGGCAGAAAGCTTGGCACAAACACAGAGGTGGCACAGACACCCATACACACACAGAGAGTCAGTGAGGTTTGATAGTGAAACATGAGACTGGATGGAAGGAAACGTGTGCTGAAACTTCCCCTGCTTACTGCATCTCTCTAGGGAAATGCACCACTCTGAGCAGATCTCTTTACAGAGCCTAAAATAACTCCACTGTGCCAAGCTGTGAAGACACGCCCACACACACCAACTAAAACACACACACACACACTCAGACAGCATGTCAGGAGCATGGCAGCATTTGCCAAGCAGTAAGACTCACAGTACACTCTTAGAAAAAAAGGTGCTATCTAGAACCTAAAAGGGTTATTCAGCTGTCCCCATAGGAGAACCCTTTGAAGAACCCTTGTTGGTTCCAGGTAGAACCCTTTTGGTTCCAAGTAGAACAATTTTGGGTTCGATGTAGAACTCTTTCCACAGAGGGTTCTACGTGGAACCCAAAATGGTTTTATTTGGAACCAAAAAGGGTTTTACCTGATACCAAAAAAGTTATCCTATTGGGACAGCCGAAGAACCCTTTTAGAACCCTTTTTTGTAAGAGTGTATTGCACTGCCTAAAAAAGTCTAATACATAACTATTGCTCTTTTTGTATTGAAAATAAGCCATTTAAAGGAATATGCCTTCTATGTAAAAGAGAAAGGAATTCAGGGAGGGAGAGACGGTAGAGAGGATATCTATCTTGGTAGAGAGGGGACATCTCTGTGTTCCGTCTGGACGGGTGGCAGTGGCAAACAAAGATGTATGCCAGCTTTAAACAGCTTGGGCAGCCTGGGCCCCAGATATGCACAGTCTCTTATTGCTCATCTGCCATCTTACCAAGCATACCACCTCTACCTGCACCAATGTCACACACAGATGTACGCACATGTCATGTGCACACACATACACACCGAACGCAATGTAAACACACTCCCAACCATTCCACATGTAATATCCCCCTGCCCATTCTCATAATATGCAAAACTGCTAACCCCTCCCCCACTCTACACATTACACACGCTACACACTGCCCTAACACGCATCACAAACACTGACAAGCAGAACAAACGGCCATTAGGCCATTTGGACAGTTCCCTTTGTCCCCTGTTCCCCATCTCTCGTCACCCTTACTCTCTCTTATTCACTATCTCTCCATCCCCCTTCTCTCTACCTCTCTCTCTCAGTTTATTTCAAGTTCGCCTTCCTCTGTTAGCTCCATCTCTCCCTCCCTCTAGCCTATTCCCTTCTCTCTCTCTCTCTCTCTCTCTTCTCGTCCCCTCTCCCCCCCCCTCCTCCTCTCTTAAACTAATTAAGTTACTCCTTTCTCTCTCATTCCATCTCTCTCCCTGCTCCTAATAGATCCGCTCTCGCGCTCTCGTTCTCTCGCTATCTCACGCTTCTCTCTCTCTCTCGTCTCCGCTCTCTCTCTCTCTCTCTCTCTTCCCGCCCCTCTCTACTCTCTCTCTTCTCTCTCTCTTCTCCTTCTCTCTTCTCTCTCTATCTCTCTCTCTCTCTCTCTCCCCGTCGTTGTCCGTCTCGTCTCGCCTCTTTAGCCCCCTTCTTTCTCTCTGTGTTGTTGTGTCCTTGGCTATGCAGTGCAGATTCCACCTCTGTGTGAGATAGCGGTAATTGAGCTAATGGCCCATCCCAGAAACAGGATTAGGGAATAGGACAGGGAGAAAGGACAATGTTCCCTAATAGAATTTGGGGATTCTATCAGCGGCTTAGGCTTTCAAGATCTCCTGAAAATATTTACGTGTGGGATGTCCCTTCACCCCTGACCAACTCCGCAAACATATTACATTAAATTAAAAGTGTGTCATGCAAATATTCTATAATACTCAATTCTGTGAAAGCAAAATAATATTTTTCTTGTTTATAATTATGGCTATTATGATCGTTATCACCATCATTAACTAATTGTAGGTCACTAGGTAAAGCCATCTACTCCGTCATGGTGAGTCTTTATTCCGTCGATCTGACACAGCTGCTCATAGTCCACAGAAACACACACACATGTCTTTGTCCTGGCCCAGACTCTCAGTGGTGCACCAATTGACTGACCACAAACAAAGCCCTGTTTGACCAACACTTGTTCCCAGACAAAGACGGAGCAGGGAAGTTCAGGGAAGAGTGAGCTGGGAGGAATCGCAAGACACCAGCAGAATCTGCAAGACACCAGAAGAAACTAACATCTCTAGACAATAGGCCTTACTTACCCTATTATACATACACCACACACACAGAGGAGAGGGAGAGGGAGAGAGAGAGAGATGAGAGAGAGAGAGAAGAGGGAGAGAAGGGGGATGAGAGACGGAGGCCCAGGAAGGGAGCGGGAGGGGGAGGAGGGGCGAGGAGGGGGGGAGGGAGAGGGGAGAGAGGAGAGAGGGAAGAAAAATAAGAAAAAAGAGGGAAAGTAAGCTTTTTTGCCAGTGAGTTGTTTCTGATCCATATCCTAAAATTCTGCAAATCAGTGTGAATGGTGTAATAACTGTGAAGTTGAAAGGTGAATCCCGATAGGAGAATTCCATGGGATTTTCATGCCGAAATCGGTGTTCATTTAGTATTCCCACTCCCCATTACCAGTGTAATCCCCGGAACACACAAGTCCCGCACGGAAAACCCAATTAGTAGCGCTGAGATTTACACACACCTGATGCCCCATATGTAATGGATGTTACAACACAGAGAACACACACACATCAACATGACCAGAGACAGAATCATGTAATAAAAGCAGACTTATTGGTCAGAACAAGGCCAAGCTAAGAAACTACTGTACTAACTGACATTTCCTCTTCTGAGTAGACCCTGATTCAGTAATTGTGAGATATCTTCTGCTGATCTTTGTAGCCTAGTGGTTAGAGCGTTGGGCCAGTAACCGAAAGGTTGCTAATCCAAATCCCCAAGCCGACAAGGTGATTTTTTTATCATTTTGCCATTGAGCAAAGCAGTTAACCGCCCACAACAACAGCTCCCTGGGCAGCCCCCCGCACCTCTCCAGAGGAGTTGGGTTAAAAGCGGAAGTCAAGTTTCGGTTGGACCTTGTGTGGAATTGACGTTAAAAAAAA